TTTCGCTGGAAGTGAGATGGTATCCAAACCCAAGTTGTCTCGACATTCACTTTTGCAATTCCGAGTCAATTGCTTTCAGCATCTTTCACCGAAGTAATCGAGTCAAATAGGGATTTTTCACACTGTTTTATCGATTTTGGCTTGCTATAACTATCATAATGCTAAAGGAATGTAGTACACAAGACTATTGGGTTGAGAAAAGTTCGTCTTTCTCCACTGCCTACCAGCCGAGTTTACTGGTCTTCTCTTTTGTTTTTCTTTACAGGAGTCACCATCCTTCTCTCCCTCACGATGTTGCTGCAAACCGTGGCGGATCGTCTGCCCAGAACGTCCGACGCCATTCCGATCATCGGTGAGTCAACCCTAGTTTCCGGCTCAAATCACCCTCTGGGATGGACGGATTTGGTGTATGATTTGTGATTTCTGAGGCGACAATTGGGAGTTCTTAAATGGTGCCATTCAATTGGCCAAATGTCCAAGGTCACTTGGTTCCTCTCCGACCCCTTGCCAGGTTCTGGTTGTCTCCGCCCGACTTGGTGACAAACGCAAAACATGCCGTCTTCGGCGTGTGGGCTGCACGTCCGCTGGTAGGTCTCACACTGGACATTGCTGTCTAGACGTCTGTATGGTTGGGAAATATGCCCACTTCCGGGGCATGTCATCTCACTTGGCCCCGGTTTGTAGAACCGGTTTACGCCACATTTGTCGGGTGGTTCACTCTTTCCTACTGGTCAATTTGATCCACTTAATCTCAGAACTTCAGGCTTTCCTCGAAAGCAGTGCAAGCCACGAACTATCAAATCACGTACTGGGTGGTGCCTTTGCGTCTGCTGGTTGCTAGGGCTGAAGGCTTACAGTTCATGCAATCTTCCTTCGTCTCTGTCTATCGTCAAGTGACCAGCCTAAGTGCATATGCGCAAGCCTTAACTTGACCCATTCCAAGTCGTAGCGCCAATTTGACGTAATACCGTCAAATAGTGATTTTTCATACAGTCTTATCGAGTTTGGGTTGCTATGACCGTCAGAATGGTACATAAGTGCAGTACACAAGTAGGAGAGGGCAGCTTACGGGTCGGTCGAATCATGAAATGTCTAGGGTATCGTGGGCTCCAACTTGACCATAAAGTAAAGAATACATCACCAGAAGAGCTGAGGTCAAGTAGAGTCGCTGTTCTCAAATGGATTCGAACCCAGTCCTCGGATGTGAATACGTCAGGCCATGGTCGAGGTTCGCAGATTCGAAGAAAAGTTGGGTTTCAAGGAATCTCTTGTTTCACTCAATTGTTCAGCTTCCATTTCGAGTGAAAGTGTTTGGCGACGATATTCGAAGGTCGATTCCACCAGAAGATGATGACGGATTCCTGATCTCCTCCGATTCCGGTGAAAAGGTGCTAAACTTTTGTCCGTCATGTGGCGAACATTATCATCACAACCGAATTCAAGCTAACCAATCAAGAAAACTCGACGTTGCTGTTGCTGGGAGTGGAATAAAGGCGAGTTTAAGCACCAGTGCATTCCGACAGCCCATCTTCGACAGGCCCACCTCTACCAAAAACGTTGCTGGCAATGCTCAATTGTCTATTTCCTCTCGCAGATGTGGCTCATCTTTTGTCATCCGTCAAATTAGAACACAAGCCAGACGGCTCTTGAGACTACGACACGGTAGAAACTGAAGTGGGCTCAAAATAGAAAAGTAGGTAGCTCAGATTTCTGATCAAGTAAAGATCAACTATATATATATATATATATAAATACATATAGTTTTTTGTAGTGAATTTCAAATCAAGTAAAGGTTTCTTATGAAAATATTCATAGTTCAAGCTCACTTAAAGATGATGAAGGTTTGCTGCTGTTCGACACAGACAACTTTCCGTTCATGTAAAAACAGACAGAGAAGTCATTTTCGAAGAAAAGTTGGGTTTGGAGGAATCTTTTGTTTCATAATTGTTGAGCTTACTTGCATTTCGAGTGAAGGTGTTTGGTGGTAAGATTCGAGGGCCGATTCCACCAGAAAACGTCATGTGACGAACAAAACCTTTACACGTTTTCACCGGAATCGAAGGAGATTGCCTCGGAAACAGTGTCAGCATGAGTGCCCAAGTGAAGCCAACCGACCGCTGGTCAAGATGAATCCACCGTCGTCTTCTGGTGGAATCGACCTTCGAATGTCTTCAACAAACATTTTTTTCTCGAAATGGAAGTAAGCTGAACAGAGCAGTCATTTGTCAAGTGACTTGACAGACGTCGACAAAGTTGAATGACATTCTTATAAATACTTTAAGGGAACAATATGTCAAAAATATCAGTTGCCTAATTAAGAACAAGAAATTGTCTAAGCTATCCTAACCATGCAACTTATTGACAAAGTGTCAGTCTTGCCCATTCTATGAAGTCTTCCTCCATCATTGACAGGCCTTTCATCTGTTCGCAAAACTTATTATTGAAGCTGAAGTATGTACAACTCATGGATGGATAAAGTTACCTTAAGATTGAGACTGCTCAGATTTGCTCCCTCAATAATTTCCTTCGGAATTGGGATGTTAGCATAAATTGATACCAGATCGAAACTCACCAAAAGACCCTCCTGTCATATACTCTGTTGATCGATATATTTAGTGAATTCATGTGAAATCTTAACTGGATATTTCTGATATTCAGCCACTTTCCTTAATTATCTGCATAGATTCGCTAACTCCTATGTTTCATTGATACGGGTACCTTCATTTCGGATGAAGTTGCATGAAGAAGAGATTCGTTGGTCGATCTCACCGGATGATGACGGATGAATCTCGTTGTACTGCAGCCGTTTTGCTTTTATACGATATTCGTTTTGACGTAGTCCACGAGACTTCCTCTCTCGCTTCGTGCTGAGCTTTCGTCAATCATATGATGGACATCATCAGAGCTGGGGGTCATTCTTGTAAAAGTCGCACGTTAACACTAAAGCAAGAACACTATCCAGCTCTATCTTACTTCTTAAATAGACTCAAACAACCAAAAAAAAATTAAAAACCTAGATACATGGATATAGAGTGGTTTGGTTGATTTTCTTTCATATTGGTTTGGTTATTTTTGCTCGATTGTATGAGCATGTGTATTTGTGCGTGTTAGCGTCTGTATGCAATACGGTTCCTAAATCAGACTTGTCAAAGTTTTAATCTCAGATTCTGATCCTCAAGACCTAATGACCCAAGAGAATCTTTGATCGAGACGGCCTAGGTCCGTAAACAAGTATGGTTGAGACAATAAAATATGAGCTTGTAAGCATGAAAATCAAGTAACGAAACCACTTGTCCTAACCTTTCAGTCAAGGGTCATTAACGTTTAACCCTCCAAAGAAAAGCAAGATTTGTGGTTGCGTCATCTGACATGTCTGGTTTGTTTGAAGAGCTTACTCTAACATTTTGGGCGAATGTGAGTGAAATTAGAACCATCACTGAGCAGACAAATTGAGTCGCCTTCTTTTTGACGGTGGTTCAACACCCTCTGTCTCCTTCAATCTATCAATCAAGCATAAGTAGTCCCTACTCAACTTTCTACCACTGTTCCTCAGATTCAATCTATTTCCTAAGCTATATATTTTAATAGCCTCACTTATCTTTCTTTTAAACACAGACGTACCATGATCAGTAAACCTACTAGTTTGAGACCATTCTATTTCATGTCCAGTTTCTACCATGTGTTCGGCCAATTCTGAGTGTTGGATCCAGCTATCTTTGCAAGCATTTTTGTGTTCTCCCAATCTTTGTAGAATAGGTCGGCATGTCTCACCAACATAACATCGAACACATAAGCAAACAATCTTGTAGCAGCCGGATTTCGATAATGGGTCATATTTCTCTATAAATGATGGCATAACATAAGGTGTGAGGGCTTCTTTAAATCCTGTTTTTATGCCCCTATCTTTTTTGAAGGAAAGCATGACGGTAAAATTAGGACATGTGAAGAAGTCTCAGTCTGTCTCTCTTTGACTAAATGGTCTTCGTCTGAAAATGTATTCCTCAGTAGAGACATATTATGCTCAATAAGGCCTAAAGGATAATTATTTTCTAGGAATATATTTGTCAGCCGTTCCAACTCTTTAGTCACATGTTTTCTCTCCACTAATTTCATACTTCTAAGAATCATTGACTTCAAAATTCAAACCTTAGTCTTGTAATTATGATTGGAATAAAAATTATGCAAAGAGCTGCCATATGTTGGCTTCCTATAAACATCTCTTCCTAACCTACCCTCTTCTCTAATGCTGAGGATGTCCAGAAAAGGTAAGGACTTATTCTCTTCCATTTACATCGTGGACCTAATGTTCCTTTCACGCTGGTTAAGTGAAAATAGAAAAG